TCCATTAGCATGTGAGCTTCCTTATGTAAGGCCAACCTGCAAGCAACAGTTTAAATTTTACTTATGACTACAAAATGATCATTGGGCCAACTTTTTAGATTCTGTTAGCCCAAAAGGTCTATAGCAACGCAAGAGGGTGGGATGAATTGGGTTTTAAATTTTTATTTGCTTAAAATTATTTTGTAAGTTCAAAGATAAATTAATTGCCAATCAAATATATTAAACTTCAAAATAAATTAACAACAATATATGAATAAAAGTAAATAAGGGAAAGAGACTGCAAATGCTATCTTATAGAGGTATGACCACCAGCATGTGCCTGCATCTTTTTGTCAAGCTCTCTGCTTGAGCATTTCGTCTATCTTTAAAAGCTCTTATTCAAGCTAGTTGATCTTAGTGCTTAGCTCACCAATCAAAGAGTTTGCTCAATAAAAAATTCTTACACAAGCTAGTTGATCTTCATACCTAGTTCACCAATTAGAAAGTTTTTGTCACTCAAAAATTCACCTAAGAGGTTTCCTCCATATCTTTTACAAATCCCACAGATTTTCACAGGCGAGAATATAAGAATAAATCTTTCAAAGAATGGATTATACAAGTATGAGCATAGGTTTAGGTGTTTCAAGTTTTGGCTTAAAAGGATGGGATTTTCTTTTGATTTTTCTTGCAAGTATTTTTCGAAATCCGTGTCAGAAACTTAGAAAAGCATGTTATTTATGGTCCAACATATTTGACTGGCCATTGGAACCAATGGATGATAGATTTTATTGTTCTCCACTAGAGAATCATAAATCTTGATGTCCTTCAGCTGGGCTATTACGTAAATATGAGGGACACATTCTCTCAAGGTGCCCGTTTCCACCCACTGATCCTCCAATAAACTCACTCTATCCTCCCTACCAAACTTTCACCTGATATACTCTTGGAGTCTATCCTTCCCTTGACTGATCTTTTTCTACAGGCTTTTCCCATGTGGTCTTGAATTCTCTCTGATAAGCCATCCTTTATTATCCACTCCGTATTTTGCTGCAAATTTTTTTCTCCAGAGTGCATCTTCCTTTATTATGAATCTCCATTACTATTTTCCTTGCAGAGCCTCATTCATCTCAGACAAAGATCACAGTCCAATCCACCAAGGCGTAATGGTTTCTGGAGCTCGCTCTAGGCCACCAAATGATACCTCCATTTTCATTCATATCACCCCCAATATACTGTTTTCTATGTTTATTTCACGCCTTTCTTTCTTGTTTCCTCTGCACTTCTTATATTCTCCCTGTATTTGCATGCAATCTATCCTATTTACTGTTGACTTTATACTTTTCCATGTAGTACCTTTTTATTTTTTATTTTTTATATTTTTTTATAATCCCACTTCAACTTTCTTCTATCATTCTTTGCAGGTGGGTTGCGAACACATTTGATCCTAACAAAGATTATGACGCCAGTGTTTTTGAGACAACCATAAGGTTGCGTTTTTAACAGGTTTACTATATAGTTGTTTCATTTTGTCAAAACTTGTTTCAAGCTATGGCGTCTTTTTCTTTGGTGGCATAAATTAACTTTGGGTGAGAGATGGCTATGTTTTTCTCATGGCTGATATCTCCTCCCTTTTTTTATTTCATTGCAGAGTTGTTGGTGGGCTTCTCAGTGCATATGATCTTTCAGGGGACAGAGTTTTCCTTGAAAAGGCAAGAGATATTGCTGATAGATTATTACCTGCTTGGGATACTTCTAGTGGGATCCCCTATAATATTATCAACTTGGCACATGGAAATCCTCATAACCCTGGATGGACTGGGGTAAGTAGTCCAACTTTTTTCTTTTGTTCTTTTATTTTACTTGTTTGTCAATAACTGGGTGTGGCATGGTTTGTGGCTATGTGAAACATAGCTTGAATGTGTTCTTGCTACTTTATGGGTATTGGCCAGGTTGAGGAAGTTAAGCTGGTCTTCTTAACAGCTATAAACTATGAACATAGATATCTAGGTAAACCAGTTCTTGCCCTTCTCTGGTTTCAGTGAATTGTTTTAATGGAAAATGTTCCTTGGATTAGAGTGGAAAGCACTTGTACATAGAAAGGTCATGTAGCTAATATCTTGGGCATTTGGACATAGGAGCCAAGTTAATTTTAGTTTTCTTGACTACTGGCATTTGCTTATCCAATAATGATGTTACATGCTTTAGAGTTGATTCTTTTTTTTTAAAGAAAAAGAAGTATTATCAAGAAATATAAGCGTATAAACAAAATAGTGGAGGTTTAGCTATCCTGCTAGAAAAAAATAGAAAAAAGAAAGGAGAAAATCTAGCCCCCTTAATCAAGGCATGCTGTCTGATCTATATGCAACAAAGACAAAAGTGATTTAACAAGTCATGTGCCTTGGCACAAAGGGAAGCTGAAAAAGATAATTTATCCCAAACAACTGAAAGCGGATAAGTTTTTTTCCCCCCTTAAGATCCTTGCATTCTTCTTTCTAAACTACCCAAATATCAGCCAAAATTGCCCCCATCCGTAACATCAAGCTCCCTTTCCTTCAAAAACAATTAAGGAGAAATACAACAAACCCCACAAGACTATCAGGAATAGCCCAAGCCGTTCTGAAAATGTAAAAAGCTCCAATTTGCAATAAAAAAATGGATGCATATGATTCTCTGCAGCTCATAGCGCATAATGTATATCCTTGGAGACAGGACGATGTGTTGTACATTCGTTTGGAGCAGGTCATTTGTATTCAACTCACTTAAGATAGCAGTACAAACAAACACTTTGACTTTAGAGGGAGCTGAAACCTTCCAAAAACTCTTTTTGAACTCAAGATTGTGAATGGAAGGATTATTGTTAAAAAGCAAAGGACTTGCAGCTAAAATTGCCCAAGGAATCTAAAAACTGAACTCTTTGATTTGGGCTCATAGAAAAAATGAAAATGCTCAAAATTGTCAAAAAAGCCATATTATCGCAATAATTAAGGCTTGATTGAAAATGTATGTCCATATAATGAAAACCATCCAAAGTATCCACAAACAAAGAAATGGCAGCAAAATGATTTTGAGAAAAATAATATAAACAAGGGAATTGGACAACTAATGGAATGCCAACAATCTCAGAATCCTCCTAGAAGAGAAAACAAAAGCCATCTCACACCCTCAAATTGAGCAGTGGAAGAAACATATCATAAAGATTAGACGTGGCTTTTCAGGATCTCTGGCAAAAAGTCAAGACACTAACTCTAGCATTCAAATGATTCCTTCACAGATGGAACTTATTTTTTTTATTACCCTATCCCACAAAAAGTTAGACCCTGAAGAAAATTGCAATAACCATTTAACTAATAAAGACAAGTTCTTATAATAAAGACCTACAATACCCAGAATCTCTTCTAGTTTCGGCAAAGAACATACCTCCCAACTGAATAAATTATCTTTAGCATTTAGAATCGAACCTGACCAAAGAAATTTTCATCACCCTCACCAAATACTTTCTCTTCCAATTTTGCATTGAAAAATTGCAATTTCATTATGTTGAGACAATAACTTCAATCCAATTTGCAGTTTCTCATCACCTTTATTATTTGATTTGACAAGATTAATTTCAAAGTTTGAACCTGTTTGAAAACACAATAAAAGAAATCTTAGATTAAGTAATACATTCTTGTTCGATTCACAGAAAACTAACGTGTCATTTGCAAAGATAATAAAAGTGAATACTAGAAAGGCGGACTTGTATAAGAGTAACTCTATCCCTGAAGGAAAAAAGAGTTCCTCTCTAAGTCTCAAGACATTTAGAAGTTCCACGAACCATTGAATCCCAGAAAGAACATCCTGGAGACTGCATCACTAGAGAAATTACAAATAAATGAAAGGCCAAGTCAAACCAATGCAACCAACTGAATCAACCATCCTCCAGTGCATTAACCTTTGCCAAAGTGCTATTATTGAGATTAACATTCACAATAAAAATACTCTTGAAAACTCCTAGGATGGTAATGACATTTCTAAATTTCTCTAGATCATAAAATAGGCATAGAATTGTATTGCTAACAAATTGAGAATGGAAAACTTCACCTTGTACTGCCAATATATAGGCCCTATTCATACAATCTTTGGTTACTTTTTTATAGCCTAATGGGTATGAATTGGGTAATGGCGGGTTCGGTGAGCAATGAACTTTTGGCTTGGGAGAGCCTGCTTTCAACAATAAAGTTGCCCACCTCATACCTTTGTACATCTTTTGGGTTATTTGGAAGGAAAGAAACAATAAGGTTTTTGAAGGGAGAGAAGAAACTTTTGTAAATATTAAGGATAAGTGGTTTTATTATCCATCGTTTTGGGTCATAACTTACATGTTTTGGAAGACTTTGGAGCGATTATTGATATGCTTATTGACATGTAATTTCTTTTGTACATGGAGGGCACCCTTGGTGTCATTTACTTAACATATATCATTACTTTTATTTATTTTTTTAAAAAGACATTATTCACATTGAACTACTGTAACTGTCAATTAAATTTAGCAACTAAAGATAGTAGGATACATAATGTATTCATCTTTGTAACAGATACAAATATCTCTTGATAGTCAATTCCATATATTTGGTTATATTCTTTAACCACTAATCTCGTTTTGTATCTTTTAATAGGTGTATCGAACTTATATTTGATAGTGAATACTTATTTGTATCTTACAGGTTTTTTTTTCCCTTAAGTAGATCCACTACCTCCCAAGTCTGGTTTTTTTTAAGTGCTTGCATTTCAACATTCATAGCATTTTCTTGTTCCTCACTAGTTAAAGTCCTTGATAAATTTTTGGAATGGATACTGGATTTAGACTCATAAGAAATTTTTTGCGAGCTATGGAATAATTTTTAAATGATATTGTTGATTTTTTTTTAGAGAAAAAATAATAAATTTTATTTCTTCCCCTTTAGGTTGTTACACTTAAAATATTTATAGAATTCAATAACTTACTGATAAAGAAAGTTTTATTCTACTAAACTTCTAATTATATTAGATTATTATTTTCATAAAATGCTAATTACATAATATCAAATAATTAAATAATAAATTAAAATAATTAAATAATAAAATATTGTACCCAACATCCTTCTCAAGTTAGTGTAGGGACATCACACATGCCTAACTTACAGATTAAGTTTTGAAAAGTCATCATACAATTTACCAGTGCTAAATGATGCCAAAAAAGCATTTTTTGCGAGCTATGGAATAATTTTTAAATGATATTGTTGATTTTTTTTTAGAGAAAAAATAATAATTTTATTTCTTCCCCTTTAGATTGTTACACTTAAAATATTTATAGAATTCATAACTTACTGATAAAGAAAGTTTTATTCTACTAAACTTCTAATTATATTAGATTATTATTCTCATAAAATGCTAATTACATAATATCAAATAATTAAATAATAAATTAAAATAATTAAATAATAAAATATTGTACCCAACATCCTTCTCAAGTTAGTGTAGGGACATCACAATGTCTAACTTATAGATTAAGTTCTGAAAAGTCATCATACAATTTACCAGTGCCAAATGATGCCAAAAAAGCATTGCAAATTAGAATCAGATCTGTCAGGCAGCAGGTTGGCTCAACTCGATTCAAAATGGTTCGACTCGGCTCAAAACGGCTCGTCCCGGTTCAAAACGGCTCAGTTCGACTCAAAGTAGCTCGGGCTTGGCTCTAAAATGGTTCGAGATTGGCTCTAAAACGGTTCGGACTCCATCGGAGGACAACCGGAGTCTCAGATGGCCACATGCGTCGCTGCCAAAGCTGTCACGCTGCTGCCGACCACCATGCACTGCCGCACGCTCAGATCCAGCACGGATTTGGTGAAAACACACCGAAAAATGCTGGAAATTTGGCCTCGTGCAAACCGGCTGCCGTTGCACTGGTTCATCTTCTTCGGCTGTTCGTGCGTTCTTTCTTCAGTTTTCTGGCCTTCAACTTACATAGACCTTGCCGAAAAACAGTTCCGCAGCCTCTGATCTAGTTGTGCTGATTGGATTTTCTTCTCTTGTCGCGATCTGCTTTCCTTCGCACAGATCAAGAAGAGCTGGCTGCCAATTGACACACACGGGCCGTTCACCGATCCAGATCTGCCCAGATAAGCTGTTCGTGCGTTCTGCCTTGCTGGCTGGTTGCCACTTACGCGCGGATCTAGTTTGATCCGCCACCCGCTGCTGCTGCCGCCTCTGTTTCCTCTCTCTCTGATCTGCTCTGTGATGAGGCTCCGACGTTGTTTAGGGTTGTGGTAAGGGTAAATTTGGATAAATTGGTACTAAGCTAGCTTATTGTGCTATTTTAGTATTTGAAAGAATTCTTTGAAATTAAAACTCTAAAATAGTTTAATTTGGCTTTAATACCATGTTGATTTTTTTTTTTAAGAAAAAAATAATAATTTTATTTCTCTTTTTTTTTTAGGTTGTTATAGTTAAAGTATTTATAAAATTTCTAACCTAATAATATGAAAATTCTTATACAAAATTGAAAATTGAATAGAGTTGATGCGGTGTATTCTCTTGTTCTTTTTCTCAATACATTAGGTAAATTACTATTAAAAAGACAATGATTCTTATAGTTTACCCACTTTTAGCATCCGACTTGGATTCTTGAACCTATTTTGGAACAAAATCGGAGTTTTTCCTTCTTGAATATACTTAGACAAAACGTGGGTTCTGTATAGGTTGCGGGCTACACTTCTCTTGTGAGGTTTTGGGTTTATTTTATGGATTTTGATCTTCTGGTGAGGTGATAGATTTAGATAATGAAAGCAACGTGTTTGAGTGC